TCTAGCTTTTCTGGGTCTCGAGTTGAAAGTGGGCGACAAAAAGTGCGAACACACAGACACACACACGCACACACAGACAGCCTCTTCTCAATATGCGTTTTTGCAATTTACATATATGCAAAAATGCATAAAAACAAAAGTAAACATAGGAGAGAGAGAATGGATAAATTTTTTGTTCGCCACCAACCTTTGCTTTTTCAATTGCTTTCTGAGGCATTCTGATTTGCGGGAATGCATACATAGCACCCTGCACCGGATTGCATGTTATTCCATCGATTGAGTTGTACCCTTCGTACACTAGTTTTGCACGCTTTTTCAGCGACTGCAGTACTTCCGTTTTCTCCTGTAGATTGATTATGAGAATCGGCTAAGCAGTTAAGCGAGTTGCTGCTCAAAACCACAAATAATGGAGGAGAATGCAGCAGTGGTCCAAAACACGCTCGCTGGCCATTCCCCTCCTACTCAATTTATGGCAGATCAAAATATTTGCCTCGTTCAGGTGGATCTTTAAATATAATCTGATTTTGCAACGCTTAAAAACTTAGTTCAAAAGTGATACCTTTATCCATAGGTTGTATGAAGGATCGCCCGGTTTTGGCGGATTCGCTACACAGTCCATGACGATCTAAAAAAAAGGTATTACACTAAAAAATGCTCACTGGCTTACAAAAATGATCTATTTTATGAAAATCATTGCAAAAAAATGTTTTGGATACCTGTCCCAGGACGGTCGGACAAAGTTTTGCAGAAATCATTTTCTTGAAATGTTTGAAAACGTCCGGATGCATATTCAGCACCTCAACGTACCCGCCTCTTAAGCCACATTCACCCATGTACCCTTTCGAGCACGAGTGGAACGAGCATAATTCCATGCTAAAAATCGCAGACGCGAAATTACGCAGTATGACAGGCAACACTAAAATTTTTTTGAAATTCTTGACGAGAGAAGCGCCAGAAATGTGGGAAAGACAGAAAAACTCGGAGAAAAGAGGGAGGGGGAAGGAGT